GTCAGGAGTCTCTGGAGTCTGGTTCTGAAGGCTAGTAGCAAGGTGCCTTACTAGTAGTAACCAAGCTGGAGTGTTACCAAGTTCTGAAAGCTACTAGTTGCTGTTGGTGTTGTTATTACTAAAGTAGAAATGAACTTGGGGTGGTTTGGAATTGAGCAAGCACGTCTGCAGCTTTTTGGAACGTCTGGTGCTGGCCTACGTGCTGGTCCACTCGAACAAAAACAGCAACATGATCAACAAACACGCCCAAGAGATGTTTATGGCGCCAACAGCAACTTCAACCACTTCAAAGACCCTAGCCATCCCAAAAGAAAGTAGCCGCAAATTGTTTCAGTTTTTGTTAGTCGGCACCCAGCTTGTTCAGCACATCGCGTGACGATGTTTCACCCTCCCCACGTGACGAAAGCAAGCGCCGAAGACCGAGAACGCCGATCGCGACACCTGGAGGGACCTCTTCGGAACATGTGACTTTGGATGGGTTATGGCATGAGGATTTGACACTGCATATAATAGCACCTCATAGCACCTCATGGCTGATCCAACGAGAATTCATAGAGTACAGTGGCTCGGCCGAATTGATCTCTGAGAAGCACAAGGTGGGCAGCGCACTGCCGAAGCCGGGGCAAATGGTCCCGGCGGTGCACGTGGAACAAGCGGGTGCCTTGGGCCGGCATGTCGCCGGCATGCTTCCCCGTTGAACAGTTCAAGTGGAGACACTGACACACCCCGGAAACATGGATGACTGCACCAAAGGTCCCATTTTTCACGTGGATTTTTGAGCGTAGGTGCGGACCCCCGTGGTTGTTCTTGTTCAAACACTGGCATTCTGTAACCACCAAGATGCGCCAGAACTGAGCTGGTATTGTCCCGGAGGGCACGGCTGCGGCAATAAAAAGCCCGGTCCTGGCGAAAACGGTGCCCCACACTGCGTTTTGCCACTTGCCACAAGTAGCATGCCCAAAGGATCTGTGTATTTATAGAGAGGCACACGACAAGGGTGGAGCATCTGGGGTATGCATTGCACAAACAAATGGTCGACACATGTCTTCAGAGTCCATTCGTCCTCCTGGACATGACATTCCCACCGGGCATGGCAGAACACCACTGCCATCGGGTGCCACGTATTGGCCGGGTTGTGCAATGACATCAATGGAGAGTGGATTGAAGGATCCCTCAGCACACCTTAGAGGTCGAGTTTCGGCGACCAGGCGACAGGGGTTCTTCCACCGCCAACGGACAGGCCACAAGAATGCAAAGGAACCAAGGGTCTTCCAAGGGCATCTCAGGCAACTTGGGATGCAACTATGGCATCCAAGTGCTGGAATGTCTGAAGTTTGGTTTAGCTGCTGGGCAGCTTGCCCATGCAAAGGACTAAGCTGTAGCAGCATGATCAGGATGCTCCCCTATCCAGGGTGTCCTTCAATTGCTTTACACTTAGCTTTAAGGTTTGCCTCCTTGCCCACTGGCCATCGACAATGGGTCCTGCAGGGTCATCATGCATGGTCCTGCATGCTGAGAAGGCCCTTTGAAACTTCTAACGTAGGCTTGTGATTCAGTTTTGGTCAATAAAAAACCCACGTTTGGATTGTAAACCCATCCGGGTTTGATTATATAATCGAGAGTGTTTGTTTTGCACGTTTACAGCTTCCTCAATTAGATGGGAGTCATCTCTTCAGCTTCGGCACACGATGCCCAAGCGGGTGCATGCCATGGGAGACACGTAGATGACCTCACCTGTGAATGGATCCATCTGGGCAATGGAGCCAGGAGGGCAGAAATAGCCTGGCCGCTTTGGCCGATGCCCAGGGGACGGGGACTCTCTTCAAAATACCGAATGGGATATCATGGGATGTCTCTCCGTCGTCCCCTTCAGAGTGACAGGTCGGCAAGCCACGATGTCGGATATCTACCTGGATCTTGCAACGACCACACAAAAAGCTTGAAGTGTTAAAGTCATTGACCCGGTTTGCCACACCAACGGCAAAACGACCGCTAATTCACAACACAACGCAACACAAACAAAACGATCAGAAAGTTGGTAGTCGGAAGGTCCAGATACATATAGGATCCTCATGGACCCTGTCTGCTTTACAATGGGATCCTGAATGATGAGTTGTCAATGAGCGCAATGAGGGCCTGTCTTGCGCTTTGCCCCCAAAATCACCCGGTGCTTTTGGTGTCACAAACTATTTGCAGTTGCCACAGCGCTGGGCGGCACGAACCATGTTGACCTGCTGTCCAATCCAAGTCTGGGAGCACTGTAGGTTCTCATCATGTCAGAACTCTGCACAGCTCATTCCAGTAACAAAGAGTCCAGCGGCTGAAGATCATTCTACGCCTGTCGGACTCTTAATGCTCGAGATCAAGCTTAGCAGTTGTGATAGGAGTCCTCGTTGTCACCGCCCCAAACACGGCGGGACTCCAGCTCGCTCGGCGCCTGCAGGGCAACTCTGGATTTCCACCGTGGAAGGTACGGTCGCAAGCCGCAAGCGTCGACCTGCCTGCCAGTGGAGCAACTACAAAGCCGCCAACGTCAGGATTGACATGCAACATATGGTTCAAATACGGAGCAACTAGGTACACGGCGGATAGACGGCCGTCTAAAAATGCAAGAAAACACCACGGCCGTCTATCAGCCGTGGGCCAACTACAAAGTAGGAACAATAGTCTCCTCTTCCTGCTGGAGAAATGGTCTGCTCCGTGGGTCGCAGTCTTTGCAAAGAGTTGTCCTTGTCACTCTGTCAGACTTCCTTCAGGTTCCTACTATGTGACGTCAACCTTGGGCACACTGAAGCAAACCCCAGCCACTATCTCAAAACCCTTATGAATCCGACTCTCCAATCCATGATTCAAGATCGTTCGGAACTGGTCGTTCCGTCGCTTGGCACCTCTGGCAGCTCTTCGCTCAGGCGACGGACGAAAGGGAACCGCGAGGTGCTGGAGGACGGCGTCTTTCCTCGAGCACCGTCGGGGGCCACACACGGCAGGTTTTGGTTGGGAGGCCTCAAACGAAAAAAGCCAAGTACAGCAAGTACACCTATACTACTAGTATACTAAGTAAATTAATCATATACCATAAATCATTATAATGACGCCGGGAGTTTGCGGATAGATTGATTTCATGGAGCTTATACCAATGTCTCGTGGAATGATGCCCAGAGCTCTGCAATGCAGGGAGGCACTCGGATCGGCACCCAGTTTAGCCTAACAATACCTGTGAGATCCTGTTGGTAACCATCTCGTCAGCGCCATCTGAAGATGAGTCGGTTTGAGAGTGACTCTTCCATCCGGACGTGAAAACGTCCAACATTGGCAGAAAGTCCGGATGGAAGAGTCACTCTCAAACCAACTCATCTAAACAGTCTGGCGCTGACGAATTAAACAGTCTGACTGATGGATGCCCTGGACCGTTTTGACCACCCCCGGGTGAGTCGTGACCGCCCAAGCATCCATAGGGCGGCCTCACGCACAAGGCCCCAGCGGGACAAATGGCCAAGTTCGCATCAAACTCCTTGGCAAGGGAGTGACTGGGTGATTGGGTGATTGGCTTCCTCCTTAAGCCAAGCAAGCCTTGAGATATAAAGAGTCTGTGAAACAAGAGAAACAACATCCAAAAGAATCATTTCACACCAAGTGAGAGTGTTTGAAAGGCACAGTAGGCATTCCTGAAAGGCTGCAGGACAGTGTGGCCAATCAACTGCCGGAAACAGAAGGGTTCTCAAGACCCATCCTAAATGCGCCGAACAATGCCTCACCAAGTGAACCTCGAAGCAAATGCTTGATTGAAGAAACACCGGAAGAGCATGTCGTGCGGACTGGGATCTGTTCTGCCCCAGCAGATGTAGCCCGTTTCGCAGTGTTCTGGCTCGATCATGGCATAGCGGGGGCAATAGACGCCCTCGGGGCAAGTCTCGCATTCGAAGTAGCCGGTGGCGTTCATCCAGGTACCTCAGGGGTCACACATCACCAGCCCGAACGGGTCAAGTTGAGTCGTCTGCCTTCCACGTACCGTTTGAACAGTGCAGTTGAACAGTTGAAAAGACAACTGCTGATCAGGCGCCGTGTCACACTTGTCATGATGTCATTCCAAACATTACCCCTTTCAGAGCGGTTGAACCCATTTCTGTCATGTTCTTTCTCTGACCCACCGATCCAATCTCCATCCCTTCCCTGCCGCCACAGCAGCCGGGCAAACACCGGATCGGCGCTTCCCCCGGGTAGGTGAGCTCCGATTGGTTCACGCCGATGCCCGGGCATGCATGGCCCTGAGGACAGGGCTGTAGAGTACCTGAGGCGCTCGGGTACTTGTCGCGTGAAGCTGCCCTGAAAAGAAACAGGAGAATCTGTTGGAAGTGGCTGGTTGAACACAGACTTGCTCAATTCATCCGTGGTCCAGGTCTCAGTCACTTTTAGCTGAAATGCAGTTCCACCACCTTTTTGTCTTGGGCACTCTATAATACAGGTACGGTAATGATGTACGTTTCTCGGTTGAATCACGGGGGTGTTCCCATGAGCTGGCTCATCCCGTTTCTCTTTAATCAGTCTATAAACACTTCCAATCTCGAAAAAAAGATATCGGTCGATGAGTCGGCTCAACGACCCCTCTCTCGTGCAATTTAACCTGGAATCTGACTGCAAACTCGGCATCAACGCAGTGTCGACATGTCAAAAAGGCACCGTTCCAATATGTTCCAATGGTCACTCTTCACTTGATGCGATGAGATCGCTTTTGTCACGCGCGATCATCTAATGGCGTGGACGGAGTGTGTTCTGAAATGGATAATTTGGTTGGGGTGTTCGTGTGCATTTCTCTGAAAGCATCTGAAAACTTGACAAGTTTGTGCTCAAGATTTCAGGTGGCGGTGGCCGTGTTCTTGTTGCATGCCTGAATGGACTGTGTGGCGTTGTTTTGACAACTCCAACACAACGATGGACAAAAGTTCACACTGGCCACCACTTGGCCAGGACTTGCACTGACCAAACATCAACACGAGTATTGAGTGGACTTCCACTTGGCCTTGAGTCTGGACCGAGGTCGAGAAGGGTCCCACGGCCTCCGGAGTCGTCCGACTGCGACTGCAGTAAGGTGATTCAGGTGCCGTTGTGGAGCTCCGCGCGGTAGTAGGTGCCAATGGGAATGGGGTTGAAACCAATGTTGATGTCTGGTGGCGTGTAGTCCTTCCAATACGGCGATCTTTGGATGGGATGGGCGGCCACATACGGGGAGCGGTTGGTGTCTTCTTTTCTCAGAATTTTGCAACACCGGAGCAGAAAACAACTCATTATGGTTGGATAACTCATCATGGTGGGAAAACAACAGGTAAGGGGTCAAATGCTTCTGCGCCAGCACCACCTTCTGGTCGGCTGCCGTGTGCTTGTGCAGATTTGTGAGGGACCGGGATTCTTAAACAACATGCAAGTATCCTTGCTATTCCAATGAAATTCAACAATCACCGTGAGCAGCATGAAGAGAACATATGTTCTAACATCTTGATCTTGCAACTGTAAAATGCAGCAACAAAAACAACAGAAACAATAGGAGCTCGTGACGCACCTCCATCACACAAAACAATAGGATATTACAGTATCTTGAAAAAACATGCCTGAAAAATCATCATTGCACTAATTATAGGGGCATGGCATTGGTCATCCAATTCAGAATATACCACCAACTATCACCAACTTATCTAAACTATTATACATATACTTCCGTCTATCATGTCACGTCTACACCGTGACATACTCCACACAAGAATGAAGTTCCAAGGAACTCTCCGGTCTGGGGGGGTCCCGTTTCTTCCACCGGGCGCGTCCTGCAAGTTCCGCGTGAGGCGCAAGGGTTCGGCTCGAGGCACCAGGGCCATGTGCGGCGTGGGAGGCAGCCGAACCGTGGCCCAGTTGGGGTCCTGCGGTGCGGCGCAATGCGCGCAGCGCGCGCAGCGCGCGCACCGTGCACCGCGTGGTTCGTGAAGGAGTTGGACAAGCAGGTGGGGGTCTGGATGGTTCTCGATGGAAGGGACAGGATTCTTTTTCAACCATGCAAGAGCTCTACTAAGAGCTCTGATTCTATGCGGAACATGGAACAGTCCGGGTAGCTCCCATTCCTCACCGTGCAACCGAGAGGCTGGAAGGTGCTGAAAATCGTCCACGCGGCTGGTTGCGGCTTGCGACCCAGGCTGTCGATGTCAATGCCACTTAGTCTGGATGAATCCTGATCCCTGGCCTCCTAAGGTCTACACCATCTGAACACAATACATGTCCTTTCTTCGTCAACCACCCTTCTGGAAATGTGTCGCAGGACAAGCAGGTGTCCTGTAAAGTTATTCTAAAATAGCAAGATCTAGGTTGCAGTGCGTAGACCAACCTCTTCAACCCTTCCAAGAAGTACACTGCATTGGGACGGAAGCCACCTTTCCGTCGCCCCACCTCCGTCGCCCATCCCGCGCTCCTTGCCACGAACCGCTTCCAACAAATGATCCCCCACGGCCACGAAGAGCTTCGCGCCTGCGGCGGCGAGACGAGTTTCGAACGTGGCGGTTTTCGCTGTCCCCTCACACTGGAAGCGAGTCCTGTGGAAGAACATGGAAGAACTGCCCACTCCATTTTTGTACACATCAGTTCTTGGTCCAATCGACCAAATGAGGGGCCGAACAAGGCATCCTCAGAGACACGTCGACTCGACTCTCTGAAAAACAATGCGCGGGCCGGTTGATCTGTTGCTGAAGAACATGATTCCCAACGACTGGGCCCAACAACATGAGTTTCATCTTGTGCTGCTGCCGATCTCCTCACAAACCACCATAAACATACATAAACCAGCGCATTACTAATTACTGGCTATAGTAACAAGGACGAGTAACAAAGTGCCTCGCTACTAGCAGCTACATCTAGTCGCTTCCAGCAGCACCATCCAGCTTCGGTTCTTCTCCACCGCGCTTCCTGAAGGCGGGCGACCGAAGGAAGCCCATGTCACACGTGCCTGTGCGGTTTCCGCTGCCATAGGTGGGGTCTTCCGCCCAGAGGCGCAGGCCACGCAGGGTGAGGGTGCAGCCTGGCACGGCGGGACGCCATCGGGTCGTCCGGCCGGTCGTCCCACCGGAGAGAGTGTAGAAGAACCGATGATAGTCAATGAGTGCCGCATGAAGAAACTTGAAGAAAGATCTGCTCTCCAAACAATTCTCAATCCAAGCAAGCTCTGTGCAAAACAATTCTCCAAAAAAACACCATGCTTTCTTTCGATACCTAGTCTTGGCTTTCTTTATCTTTCTTTCCTAAGAACCAGGGAATCCAAATGTGCATATTTTTTTGTTCAAACACGTTCGCACAAAAAATCCGTGCATCCGGCCTTTTCTGTCAAATGGACAAATTTTCTGGAATTCCTCCGAATATTGGGTTTTATCAATATCATTGTTTGGGTTTTTGTCGATAACATGTTGGTAAAGTTTGGGTTTCATATGGGTAGGCTTTTGTACGGTATTGTGTTTCTGTCCATACGGCTAAATACGCTAATTCGTTAATTAAAATGTCCATACGATAAATGCTGTCCAAATACGGCCTTCGCACCACAAAAAAGTGTTCATACGCCTTTCCAGGAAGTCCCACCCTTCTGAGCCCACCAGTCCAGCCTCCGGTCACCAAGCAAATGTTGGGGAAGACTGCTGGTCCTGGAAGTCGAAAGCATCGCAGGGCCGGTCATGTAAGTGGTGGCACATGCCAAGGGGCAGGAAGGCCGAAAACTTGATCCTTTAACAGCTCCACCAGCTCAAATGCAAAAGGTCAGTCATCAGGAAGATGATATGCCATGCAAAAACATCATGTGCCATTGAAGAAACATCCTGAACCATCTAAACTGATATCTACACCTGCCCATCTGCAATTACACAAACGTAGGTTGGAAGGTGGGTGCTTCCAAGTCAAGTAGTCATTTGGGTTAGAATAGAATAATTCTATGGCATATGTGTGTGCATTCATATATATACTGTTTGATACTGTTTGTTTTTGGATTGAACAACTCATTTGAACTCATTTGTCTCATCTCCTGGGAAGTTTCCCTCGATCGAGGCTTGGAGCTCCATTCGCTCTTCCGCCAAAACGGTCTGCTCTGAGGCTGAATCCACCTGATCCGAGCCGCGCTCGACGGCCGCCAGGCGCGACTCGACGACCAGCTCAGCTCCCGCGGGGCCCCGGTGAACGTGCTACCTGCCCTTCACCACAACATAAAGGTGATGTCATGCATCTGTCATGTATTACTGTAACTTGTCTTACATCCCAGGTGAAACTGACGGCGACCGTCTGGGACAACCCCATCACTACTTCATCGAAAGATCCGATGCAAACGTTGTGGCAATCGATGATATTCACCTTTGGCTTTTGAGGCATTTGAATTTCGATTGCATTTGCAGGCATCTGCCCAAACTTCTGTAAGCTTAGAAGGTCAAAAACATGTCAAAAGCATGTCACTGTACATCAACAGCAATCAAAGCATGAATCAAAAGCTTCAACAGGGGCCTGCGTCGACATGGAGACTTCGAGATTCACACCCAGCGGCTGCAACTTGTCCTGCGCGTGATGCCAACAGTGAAAATTCTGGTTAACATTTGACTGTTAGAAGGGTAGGGCATAAAGCAATCCGCGCTGATCATAAAGTAGGTCACTACAACTTGTACAATTAACAAATGCAACCAACTACCCTAAAAGCATTGTCAGGCCTCATTGTGACAATGCCGTCATCGAGGCAAGGGCTAATTTTGCTCCAAAGTGTCGCGTCTTGTATAGGCCTGTTGTTCAAGTAAGGTATCTCCTCAAAGGCTTGATGCCAACCCCGCATTGCCATAAAATATCCCCAAAAGTGATACAGTAAACTGAGTAGACTTATGTAGGCTTAGCAGTAGTTTAGAGGTTGACATCTGTTGTTGATGCCGCTCATGCTGCTCCGCCCTCCGCCCTTCCAACCTCTGTATTGATGCCCGATGCGGCTGCAGGCATCGTGGGGTGACATCGCAAGGTCTCCGGAGAGAGCAACGTCGCGTGGACCCGTTCTGGTGGCAAGTATTTGTCCTTGGCTGGGCTTGGGGTGTCCAAGATGTCATACACAGACCCACGATCTGTGCCTATAGGGATGTGACTGACCATGACGTGGCCTTGGTATTGAAACAATGAATTCATCTGCCGACCAAGAAGGTCAAAGTAGATAAAGTGATATCATGATATCCTTTCTACTATCCTTTGTATCATTGGCCTGTTCCAACCCTGTTCGCCTGTTGAAAAGCTGATTCTTGAGTCTTCAGGGCTTTAAAGTCGCAAGTCCTTCTAGCGAACACCTCAGTCAACTCCCTTCCAACGTCCACCTCTTTGCTCCAGGCTCTGTTCCCACATCCGCGGCAAACGGCCGCGGCCGGATGAAAAGCCCAAGGGTCGTAAAGCCAAACACACTGAACCAGCTCCGGCTGCAGCAAACGGAAGTATCGGCCAGTGACGATGAAGTCCTTGGGACGTACAAATTGCAAATAGTGAAAGAAGTTGCCTTGCACACGCGAAAACAAATGAAAAGCGTTCAAGAACAGAAACATACAAAAACAGAATCCACAAACCAGGTTGTATTTCGACATCCATGTTGGTTCAGGCTCTTCCACCTTCAGCCAAGATATGCCAAGATCAACCAAGGAACCCCTTGAGGTGAATAGGAGCGGAAGGTGGTGTTGGGCACAATGCTGAGCACTTCAGGCTCCCTGTTGGCGAAATCTTTGAACGCCGCTCGACACCGTTCGAACACGATGCATCGAATCTCACCCGGCCAGCCATGGCCAATTTGCAAGTGGTTGTCATCTACCTGAACTGGGCACCCTGGCAAGCTTGAAGCTCATACATGCATCTTCAACGCAAATGCCTGTAAAGGTCAAGCAAGATTGCGGTAGCCTTTAGAACATGGTCAAATATATAAGGGAAAAGGGTACCTTGGGCAATATCTGGGATGGTTGAATAAATGTAATCCTTCAAACATTTGAAACGCATCGCATCGCTGGGCCTGTACCATAGCCAAGCACGTTTAAAGCGTGTCCAGTCTTGGCCATTCGGTGAGATTTCAAAGTAGCTCAAGATACTGTCGGCAGTCCTGCAAAAAGCCATGCACACTCGTGTTCGCCATACATCTTTTCCCTCAGGCTGCAATCTCTCACAGCTGTGCTTCCCAAACCGGCCGTGATGCCATGGACATGTCAATAATCTATTTTACAATATATATATATACTATTATTGCATTGTCTCATATTTCTTTGGTATACACTGACCAACATTTGGTACAGTGCTAGATTTCATATTTGATCATATTTGTCTGGTATTCCTTTACACTTACTTGATGGTATATTTATGGTGTATTCCTATTATCTCACAAGATCCAGTGTTCTTTCTCGTTCTTCGCGTGGCCGGTGTCCTGTTGTCCGGGCGCATGTCCACCGGCAACTGTGGGGCAGTACACCGCATGAAGCCCGGGGTCACGTCGGTGGCCGGGCTCTCCCCCTGGTAGGTCGAACGTGGACGTGGACGGGACGGGTCTAACCATTGGACAGCAAAAAGTATAATATATAATATATAATATATACTACTATACTACCTACCGGTGAGTTAGGACTTTGAGTATCCAAAGAGTTAAGAGTTGTGCAGGCACACGGCCCTAACTCATAATATATATATATTACATGGTATTACATGGTATTACGAGGGTCCCCAAGTTGGCTGATCCTGGCTCAGCTGATTTTTGCCTGACATCCATTGACGTGTGTTTGTCAGTTTGGTTTAGACGATGAAGTGTTTATCCAATTGGACAACCATGGACTCTGACTCTGCTCAGCCAAGGCTCCAAGCCGCCCCAGCGACACCACATGGGTTCCTGGAAGTTCACTCCGAACAGCGCGATGGTGAGGTCATTACCTGAAAGGCGGTCGGCACCCTCCCCCCCCCACACAAACGTTAGACTTAGATTGAATGTCTTGTGGCTTGTTGGCCCCCCCAAAATAGTGGTGTTCCTGGACCTGATGGCTGTTCTTATGTTGATCCACATCTGCATGATTCTTTGATGTGGGAGAATCTCCTTGGTCTTTGACAACCCAACTCGCAAACCAAGGGCAAGCAGCTGCGAGCAGCTTCTATGCCCGCCAATATGCATCATACTATACTTTCTGATCCCTGCCAGGCCACTCCAACCACTGGCTGGGAAAGGACTTGCATAGGTCACCTCCCCAAAAGTCAGGAGTGACTGACTGAAGCTGGAAGCTCTTTGCCTAGAAAGGACTGACTAGTGACTAGTCCAAGCAACATGTCAGGATTCTCCATGCTACACCTTTCGACTAGACTCTCTTCCCAACTCACGAAGGTTGCCCCCAGTGTCGCAGGAGCACGGCTTTCATGGTGAACCAGCGTCCGAACTTCGGACCTGATCCAAAACAATCACTGTGCACCATCCGCCTGAGGCATCTTGACGTATTCGTAGGTGAGGTTGCCAAACATGTTGCGACCTGAATGGAGTTGGGCCAATCTTTCCCACAACTAACGCGCCCTGTCAGCGAATGTATCTCGTAGATTTCACGCTTGAATCAACCCAACTTTGGTGGTTCCATTTTCTCTCACTATACTATGAAGTGGCCGCTCGGTACGCGGTCTCAGGACCACTCGCACTCTCCAAGGAGATGTGGATCAGACTTTGCAAGTCTCAAAGCAGCAACTCCAAACGTGGTGGTTTTTTGTCCGCATGCCAAATCGCATGCGGCCATGTCTTGATGTTCAATCGTTTATTCTTCTGCAGACCTGCTGACCCATCTGACCCTGCCATGAGACCGTTGAATGTCATCTGCACCGTCACGAAGCCGAAGCAGTCCACCGAACTGTTAGGTGCCACACCCTCCAGGTACATGGCCTGACTGGAGAAGGTGTTGGCCGCATAAAGCCAAGGTAAATGGAGTGCGTCCAGGTACATGGGCCCTCAAAAAGAAACGTCGGCTATTGAGAAACATTCTTAACTCCGATTCCTTGGCCTTTAAGAACGCTACGAGTAGACTATGCTGTTATATTATTTATATATATATATGTATATTTTTAAGTCATTGATGCAATGATCGGGATGGTGGCTGAAACCCTTCCTAAAAACATGAGTACGCTGGGGCAGTCATTTCACACATAGGGCTTTCCAAGCCATGAACGTGGGATTTAATTTCAAATTTCATAACCCTTCACAGACCTGAGGACCTGATACCCTGCCCTTTGGGACCCAAGAAGAGCGAATGAATACATTGGGAAATGCGATCAAATGACACGTGATATTATATAGATGCAGTATCAATGATGTCAATAATGATATGAGATATGATGTCTGAATTGGTATATATATATAAATAGATCGCAAACACTACCATCCACCTTTGGGATGTTATTAGACTTTGGATGGGGGACCTTCTCTATTCCAAGTTGCACGTGCACTCCCAAAGAATAAGGGTAAAATTGCATTGCTGAACAATCATGAATGTTCAACCCTCATGATATGTTTTTTATCTTATCAGCCACAGTGACTCCAGTAAGAACAATCGGTCTTGCCACCCCCGCCTTCTCGCATGGAGGTGTCATGCAAGTGAGCCTTGGATTCAGTGGGTCCTCCGGGTTGTAGACTGGAACCGTCGAGACGGGAGCATAGCCGAAGACCTCATGTGGGTCGCGTGTCCCAGGCGCTTGGAGGTAGAAAATGAGATCCCAGGCCTCTTCTCAAAACGGAAAGCAGCACATAGCATAACAACGACGATGGACAAAAAAAGACTGCATAAAACAAAAAACATAACCCAAACATGACATCGCCCAAACAATCGGTTCCGTGATGAGGGTCGAGCAAGTTCGGTCGAGCGGCGCATGTGAGGGTCGGCAGCCAGTAAAGCCCACTGGTCACGATGGTCACGTTGGTGCCGCCGACTCGGAAGCCACGATCCGGGATGATGGCCGTGACCTGAGGGTCTGTGGCTGTTGGGTGCTTCACCAGATCTACCAGGTTTAGAGGCTGAGATTTGGTGAAGGCTGTTGTCGTGCAACAGCGATTTCCCAACAGGTTTAGATGCAGGGAGTCTAGTCGCATCAGGTCCAGGACCTGCCAGTCACGACTTGGCTGGAAGGGGACGGCCAGGCCGCAAATCACATGCAGCAGTGGGTTCCTTTTTACATCCTTCCCAGGCCGCAGTGGCTGCAGCACCACCTTCATGGTGCAACTGGAAATGTTGGTCTTCTCTGTCAGGTCACCCACAGTTGGCGGACGTGAGCCTCTTTCATTCATAATTAAATGGTGAACGTGAGCTCTTTCACCAAAAATGGCCACCACATGCCAAGCAGGGTCTTACCACCCTAGCCGGTTCGGCGGCGAGAGCAAGTGGTTAGGGAACTCCTTTTCGCTCATTGGCTCATATTGGCTCTCTTTCGAATGGGGGGATATGAACACGCCCGGCTCCCAACCACCAGCTAGTGAAGCATTTAAAAAGCAAATGACATCGACCAGGGGCATGCATGAAATGAGGAGCTGTCCCGAACTTGGACTCGTGTGAATACAGAAGGAAATACATGTTGATCTCTGTCATTGAGAGGCTGCAAATCTGTTGTGGCTTTAGACAGAAACTCTGCCGGTCTTTACTCTAGACTCGACCTTCTCTCTCTCTCTCTCTTTCTTGTTCTGTGTGCCTGTGCGCTTTGTCACGAACGGAGGGCTCTGCCACTGCGCAAAGCGGGGGCTTTCAAGTCAGCACATTCTGGGGGCTTTGTTCTGTTTCGTGGGGCTCTCAACAGTTTTTGTCACATCTGACCGTCGTTGTGCTCCTTCATCCCATGCGGTGCATCGGACCCCTCAAGGGTGCTGTACACAAATCAAACGTCCCAAGGCAATGGGCACCAGGGAGCTCACCTGGAACTGCCAAAGGCAGCCATCCGGTCTCAGAGTTTAATACGATCAATGCCGCCACTAGAAACGGCCTCCAAGAGTTCAACACGATCAATGCCGCTGCAATTGGGGTCTGACCAAACAGCCCTGTCAGTTCACTCGGCAGTTCTCAACAAAAAGTGCTCTCGAGCGAGGGACTGTCACTGTACGCCATGCAGGAAACTTTGCGGGACATCTGAACCACTCCTTCCAGTTTGAGATCCGACCACCGCAGGAACTGATTTCCCCGACCATTTTTGGACTTTCATGAGGCTTCAAAGTCATCTCCTGGTTTATTGCGGACCCTCTGCACTGCTAGGGAATTAAGCAGCAGAGTCAGCACCTGATCAGAACCTAACGCAACCCAAGATTTCATGAACTTCTTACTATATAAATATACGGTATATCATTCGTGACTAATAATGCCTTGAGGGTCCAACCATGTCTTGGACAAGTCTCTTATACAAGCAGTTCCCGGGCAAGCCGGCGGAGGAAGTTTCCTATAACAAAAAAATTACCTATAGGAGTGTCCCTGCCCACATGCCCTGCGGACCCCCTTGGTTCCGGCACGCAACGATGGTGTCACGCAAGCAGCCCACAACGGCGTACTCGCTCTGGCACTGTGCATGTAGTGGCACTGGCGCGAATTCCTCTCGCTTTGTACTGCGCCTGCCACGAAATCTGCACATCGAGGTTCACAAAGTGCTGTGCCTACCACGAAATCTGCACCTGGAGGTTCATAAAGTGCTGTGCCTGCCACAAAATCTGCACATCAATGTTCACAAAGTGCTGTGCCTGCCACGAAATCTGCACATCGAGGTTCACAAAGTGCTGCGCTGCCACGAACTCTGCACATCGAGATTCACAAAGTGCTGTGCCTGCCATGACATCTGCATATCGAGGTTCACAAGGTGCGGCGCCTGCGACGAACTCTGCACATTGAGGTCACTAAGTGTTGCGCCTGCCACGAAATCTGCACTTCAAGAAACAAGTGAAAACTCCATAATTCGAGGGACGATTCGACCATGATCCAAGCATGACGCGAGGCCATTCCGCAACCGTCGTTCCGCAGAGCTAGCCTTGCCAGGCTCGGAACCACCCTTTGTATTGAAAAACACAGCATTTCGTGCGTCCGCTATCTCTCGAACACTTCCTTCCAAAGTGCATGTTGAAGAGCTGATGACTGGAGTTAGAGCTAACTAAAGCTAGAGCTGACTAGTGGTGTTGTATGTATGTTGTATGTCGTAGTAACAGCTTTTGAAAGTCCGTAACACGGAAGTTTTGCACACTAAACTTCTTTTGATGATATATTGTATACATATATATATATAGAGAGAGAGTGAGATGCATAGCATAAACTAATCCACTGCTTCACCAGGATCGCTGTTCAAAGTGTGTCAAACTAGAAGGCTGTGACCATAGGCACTCGGCCCAAATTCCCCTACCAACTGAGCAACGACAAAAACCTGGTGTCATCATGCAGTCCCACTACGGGGCTGCATGCAGGAATCACACAGGCTTGCAATCCCACTGTCAAGAATCTATGGATCATTTTGTACCGGTCTACCTCAATGGTGGACAAGCCAAGGTCTCCGTCGCTGCTCCACAAAACTGACTTCGCTGTACAGCGGGGTGCAAAAAGGTCTACACAAAGTCTTGGCCCTCTGCTTGGCTCCAACCTGAGAGCAACATCTGGGCAGGAACACTTATACAAAAAAGAAAGAATATATATATTAATAATTGTTAATCTCTATTTAACAAAAACAACTCTCAGGCACATGTCTGTTTAAAGTATATATTTGTCGTGGCAGGGTGGGCAGCACGCAAAACACCACAAACAAGAACACGACACATTGGGATTACAAGGGTGTCCCTGCCAATGCGTGAGGAGCACAAGGACAGGTACTGTATGCCAACTGGACATCTTCAAGGGCAGAACACCAAAGAAGCTTGGTACCAACAAGTCGTTTTGGACATGTCCTACTTGCGTCGGTATGCTCACTGGACATTCTTAAGTCAGGAGCCAGGAATGAACTGCGGATCTCAAAACCAGCTGAGACGCTTGGCTCGCTCTTGGTCCGTCTCAGTTGGCTGCCAATGCTCTCCTCCATGAGTTCGCAACTGAAGGAATAAGCTTGTCAAATCTGCTCAGAAGTCACAGACTCAGTTACTATTGCCAAAGTTGTGGTAGTCTCTCAACTGCAGTTGTTATATATATATATATGTGTGTAATTTAAATGTTTTGTGTGTGCGCAACAGTACCTCTCCTGAAATGTCTACAGTATACTGTACTGCATGTTGAGCACTTCTATACCAGCCATGATGCCCGCGCATGGCTCGTCAACAAGAACGAACCTCGTCAAGCTCAAGGAAGGTCTTGCGCACCACGACTCTCAGCACCCCTAGGCGACGATAAAGGCGGTTGTTTTAATCGAACATCGATCCCCAAAGAAGGCCGAAAACATCGCACAAAATCCACTGCAAACAGCTGAAGCTCGCCCAAGATCTAATATATTTCAATGGTAGATCAGGAGGGAAGGACTTGCCACTTGTGTCTACAGTCCTCGAACAATTCCACTCCCTCCACCCAGAGCCTTCGATCTGGCTGGGGGCATTCTCTGAAGATAGAAAGCGTGGACGAACGTCTGCATTCCTTAGTAGACTATGTGGCTGTGTATTGCAATATGGAGGCCAACCCCCTCTCGACCCCCTGGAAGGAGGAAAATAGACAAGTCTACTACCCAGCCAAGGCCAGTGGATCTCCCTATTAAGTTACACACCCATGTGGTTGTGCGTCATGGCACCAGGAGACCTACTAGTTGACTTGCCTGGTGTCTACCTCATTCGCTGTATGGTGGACCAGGGAAGCCTGACCCATCACCACCTCGTGGTTGACAGATCAAGACGTGGGGAGTCCGAGTCCAAGGTGCGGCATGTCGCATGGAGCCAGGCCTCTTGCTGCATGGTTTCAGTGCAGGCACTGCCTTGTATACATGGAGCCTGGCCTTTTGGAACTCCCTTCTGAGGTGATTTCATGCACTTGAAACACTCGAACTGCTTGAAAACAATCATTTCTTGACTGAACGAACGAATGGTCTGATGTTCTTGCTGTAGGTGCAATCCTCATTGGGGACAAACCACCAAAAACCGCAACACAACTGGCATTCAGCATGCTCAGTACCTCCCACGCCCGAAGTCTCTCTCCAGTGATTTGGCCTAGTCTCAAGGAAGGGGCAGCCGTCCCTCCGTTGGCATGACGGTAGGCTGCACGATGCAAGTTGAAAACTGGTTGAAAAACATCTTTTGCATCCTCCCACTGCCCTCGGAGCCTGGGTGGCATCACAAGACAGTGCTGTCTGTGCTTGCTTCCAGTGCTGAGCAAGCACGAATTCAGAGGAAACCATCCACTTCAGACTTCAGCACCCAAGACTTTCTACACCCCTGGTGACCTTTATTCATGATGAGACTTCCACCACCTGAAAAACATGGGCAACCTTCGGTCTATGACATACTATGACCTTGACATACGAAGAAGTCTGCTGGGCACCGAGCTCCGGGTCGCATGACGCACTGGTATGACACCAAGCTCCGTCCATCCAAGTTGGGGAAAGTCTGCACACGGAAACCCAGCTTCTCTAAGAACTGCTCCAAATACTCGGCCAAGTGAAACCTGCCCTGGAAGCGTGACCAGGAGCTGATTCCAAGGTGCTTCCCTGTAGAGATCCTCCAGGGGCGATGAGAAACACACACACAGTTTGACAAAAACCACCAAAACACCGTTTGAGAAAGAAAGGGCGGCTTTTGGGCAAACAGCTTCAGAATGCCCAAGCAGTGGGCATATGTTCAAACAGTTCATCTTCAAATCCAATCAGCAAGGCAGGTGACTGCACAAATGCACAGCCTGCTCATACCTTTTCAAATCCCGTTCTTGATGGAGTGCGCATGCCCTTCAGACGCATCCAGCTCGGGAAGCAGCGGTGGCCCACGACTAAAGCCCCGCAGGGACAGGACGACGTAAAAGTTCGTGTCCACCGAGCGCATCGCGC